TCTTTAATGTACAAATATGAGCTGTAAAGCAAGAAGGGAAACACTTTTTATATCTTCCTATATTTTGAAGCTAAAACATGGAAACAAATTGGCACTTAGCTCTCCAGCAATTAATGATTCCTCAGAAGATCTAAAAACAATACAGCCCCTGTCCGGCAGGAAAGCCCAATTTTATAAGTCATCCTAAAACTAGTATTTGGCTCCTCTAGAAGTTACTGTTTTTTAGTTATTCAACTCTGAATATGCGGCACACATTGCTGGACTTTGTAGCTCAACATCCAAGTTGGGAGGATTGCTTTGGTTGTTGGTTTAAGCCAATAATGGCGAACCTTTTAGAGACAGAGTGCCCCAAAACTGCCCCCCCACTCCACCTCCCACCCTGCCTGCTGCGCCCCCACCCTGCCCAGCCACACACCGCCTCCATGGCCCGCCAATCGCCCAGGCAGCCCTTCAGTGCCATGGCAGCCATGCCCTCTGCCCACATGCCACAGCATAATCTGCATGCTATGAGGCGCGAGGGCAGAGTGTTGTCCCTGCTGCCCAGCTATGTCCTTGGCTGCACTACTCCGTGCAGGCTGCGCCCAGGGGCGACTCTCCTCCCGAGGGGCTGCTGGTGAGGGGGCTGCAGGGGAGGTGGGGCTGGGGCGATGGCGCTCATGCCCACAGAGAGGGCTCTGAGTGCCGCTTCTGGCACGCGTGCCATAGGTTCGCCACCACTGGTTTAAGCAATGGAAATTTTAATCAAACTTTAGGCCTGAGCAGGCCTGGATAGGCAGAACTCCTTGGCCAAGCCCATCCTCATCTTCCTCATTTAAAATACAATTTTGCAACAATTACCACTCCTTTTCCCAGAGTCGACCAGGTCTAACCCAAGCCTCTAGCATTAGTCTCAATATTAGTCAACCTACAAACTAGTTTCAGTCTTTCTGGCCCTTTTCAAAGGCTGAGAGCCCGCCCCTTCCGGAAAACCTGACAGTGCAGCGCTACAGGTCTTCTGGGAGGGCTCCACTTCCAGGGACGCGCTGGTGTACTTTGCTCCCGGCCTCTCCTGGAAGAGGGGAAGCTGCTGCGCGAGCGGAGGGGGGCTGAGACTTAAGGGGAGGGAGAAAATGGGCATCTCCGGGGCAAAGCATTCCCTCGAGGCCTGGTCCGGTGCCCCCGATGGTGAACTGGAGAGAGCCGAGGGAAACCTGCTTAGGAAGACGCGGGGGTTTCTCATTCAGCATCAAGATCGCCTCTTCGGTCGGGAGCTTCTTGGCCGGACCCGTTAACTTGGATTTCTATCCATTGCAGAGGAAGATGGAGCTGTGACCTGACGTGCGTAAAGGGCGCCGGTTTAGGTGGTGTAGTAGAGCAGCCTCCCCCAATCGTTGAATCTTTCAGGGGTGTTGGGACTACAACTCCCAGAATTCTCAGCCAGTCTTCGGCCATCCCGGGGAAATGAAATCCAATGCACCTGGGAGGGAGCGCAGTAGAGCAATAGTGGTCCGGGCAGATCAAGGGGTTATCCAAAGCTGCCTCCTGCGGAAACGTGCAAAAGGAAATGAAAGGAGCAGAGATTCTTCCTGCCGCCGTTTCAGTTGTTCTCATGAGCGTCTCTCCTCGTGGTGAGAAAGGCTGGCCGGGCAGCTTGAAGGGCCAGCGGTGCCATTAACGCTTTCTATTCCAGAAGGAGCCTCCCCCGCTCTTATCCGTGATTACGCAGGAGGGGGGGGGGGGAGGTCAGAGACGCGTCGGGACCGGCTGCCTCCTCTCGCTGAAATCCAAGAGCGCCGCAAAGCCACCCGATCCCTGGACGGTGATTATCCTTAGGGGGCTTATAAGGCTGGGTAAACGGGGAGGGGGGGTGGGGGGAAGGAAAGCGAAGAAATGTAAGCAGTGATGTGGGCGCGTCAGTTTGGAGCGAGCCCCTTTCAAAGCACCGGGGCAGGATAAAGACCTCGGCCTGGAGCGCAAGCTTAGTTGCTCAAAGGATCAGCCACTCTCCTTGGGAGTAAGCCTCCAGCGGCGGTCATTCCCGAGGACTGCAGGGTCGACGGGTGGGATGGGTCCGTGTCCACATCAGCTGAAACGGCTTACATCCAGCGGCTCTGTCAGCTGCGTCCCCGCGTCCGTCAGAGCTGCTAGACTACAGCTCCCCTCTTTCCCGGCCACCTTGATGTCGACGATGGGAGCAGCACCGGGTGGGCTGGCTGCCTCGGCATCATCTCTCAGGGTGGCCGAGATTGATGGGACTTTGGATTTTGCAACATTGGCTGGGAGAACCAGGGTTGCTCAGGCCTGGCTCCGGAGAAGAACGACGCTCACGTTTCCCCCCTCCCCCGCCCGCTTGCTAGCCCGGGGGCGCTTTCCTCGGGCTCAGGCCATTCACCCCAAGGAGAGGTACCAACAGTGCCGACGGAGGCCCTTCGGCTTCCTTAAAAATGGAATGCCGCGAACCTCATGTGCAAAAAGTAAAAAGGTAGGTAGGAAGGAAGGAATTTGCTTCTCTGTAATAGGGCAATCCGTGCCTGGGTTCAAAGACCCTGCTAAGCCAAGGAGGCGTTGCTTTTAGCCAAGATCTTGTGTCATAGGCCGTAATGGCCTGACTCACACATAACGATTATCCATACATCAACGGATAGGTATTGGCAAGGTACAGTATGGTTAAAAAAAAAAATAATTGGCAGTCGTGACACTGCGAGCAAAGCTCTTAAAAACAACGGGATTCAATCGCACCGTCGCGGCCAGCATTTACTTTTCTTGAACTCTGAACACCCCTGAAAGACACAGGCTAAAATGAAACACATGACTTAAACGTCCAGACAAGCCAGCCACGTCCCAAGCTGGGTAAATTCTGATGACCAGTAAGGCAGAGACGGGCCGCGGAAATCCAGACTCCGCACGTTTTGAAATCCGGATAGATTCGGCCTTCAGCCCTTGGCCTCGTTTGCGTTGACGAAGCGGAGGAAAGTGGCCCTCGTTGTTCTGTGTCCGCATCTTAGCACTGGCTTTTATTTCCCGCGCTTCCAAAGGGTTGGGAGCCAGATTCGTTTATTCCCGACGAGAATCAAAGAGAGAGAAGCTTTTGTGAACTCTTTCCCCCGCCCCTTCCCCCCAAAGGTGGCTGTGCTTAATCGCTTCCCCTTTGGCAGGAAGCGGGACCGTTTCCTCGCCATTCCAAAAACCGACTTAGAAGGCAATCCCTTCTCAACCACTCGGGCTTACCGCGACATCAGTCCCTATGTGATGATGGCTAATCGGGATCTAGAGGCGGCTGGGCGGAACGCTTTTTGGCTTCGCCTTTTCGCTCATATTTGGTAGCTGAACGGGCTGATAATTCCAGGACACGCGGGGCGCAGGTTCGAAACCGGAATCCCCTCAGCCCAACCCAGTGCGACAAACGAGGAGGCGGTAGTTTTATATTGACGCGATTAAAGTGAGCGTCAGGCCTTAGGCTTCCTTTGGGGTAGACCTGTCCTTTCAATCCAATGCAAACTTTCTCTGGAAGAGTATGTAATACGCATGTAGACAGTTTGCCATTGCTTTCTCTCTTCCAAGAGAATGAGTTCCATCAAGGAAATGCTTGATAGACTCCGAAAAACAAAACTTCTAAGGACATCATTCACAATTACTGAATCTGGTGTAATGGTCGCAGTGTCAAATTAGCAGAGAGGTCACCGGAGGTGATGTAGGAGATATCTCCCCTTCCCCATTTTCTTGGGCTATGACTCCCAGAGACAATTTGTAGAGAAGGAAGGAAGGAAGGAAGGAAGGAAGGAAGGAAGGAAGGGGAAATTGAGTGCAAATCAAAAAGTAAAAGATTTTATATACATTGAAGCAGCAACTTCTCCTTGGCCTCGAATAATGAAGACTGCGGTTGTGTACTTGTCCCATCGACTTTACTGCAGCTTCCTTTCCAAAAGATCTGTGCTAATTCGCATTCACTGTTGATCAATTGAACTGGCCGGTGACCAATTCAATCGATATAAACCGACTTAAACAGGACTCAGGCAGGTCCTTGCAGTGGAAACCAGGAACAAAAGAAGCAGCGCATCTAGATCACTCAAGTCCTGGGGAAAAGGGCGTTTCGGGTTCGGTATTACTTTTGGGGGACCTGACCTGTTTTTGACATCCCCAATGCTCTTTGGCTTCAGCATGGTTCCTTCTAGCGCAGCCGGCAGGCGGCAAGTGGCCTGCAAGTCCTCTTTGGCTTCGTGTCGTTCACAGGCGGCTGCTTTCATCTACCTTCCATAACAGGGCGGAGTCAGCCCGCAGCGGAATATAAATGCAGAATGAGATTTACTCATCATTTCTGCACTGAAAGTTTTGCACTGCCCGAATCGAGACTTGAGAAAATCTGGTAAAGTCCAAGCACAAACGTATTCACGCATGCTAAAGTCTGCTAAATTTGGACTAATCAGCATACCGTGTGAAGATAGCCATTGCTAATCCATAAAGGGGAGTTAATATGATTGGCAGACTTTAATTTTTCTACAGCTTTAATGGGAAACCCGCAGGCTGAAAGCATTTAGGCTGTAGCCCTTCTCCCCCGTGGACAGTCGTACCCTCTAAAATTGGGCACTGCTTTCGATCAGAGATAGGGGTAAAGATCGGGAGGGAGTCTAACGCAGCGGCACTTACATTCAGGAAGAATCTGGGAGCAATCGGTAACTTTAGCCATGGGATTAGCAAAACAGAGGTGCATTTTTTTCATCCCAGCCAGACTACCGGGTAACGCTAGTCAGTTTGTGGATTGTGTTTAAAAAGATAGGAAACGCCTTAAAAAAAACCCAGCCACGCGGTCTCGCAGGAAGCTGCTTTCCTTAGGCTTGTGCCACCTGCCGCCGATCCGAGTTTGGGTCTTGAACGTTCCCCAATCGGTGCAGGGCGACGATCAGCTTGCACAGAGGAGGAAGCACCGGGCCCGGCAGAGTGCTTTGAAAGGAAGGCTTCGGCGCCCTTTTGCAAATCGATTATTTTTCCACCCCAAGAGACGCGCAGAAAAAGCCAGGCAGCTATTTAATCATGATCATTTTTTTTTTATTGCTTGAGAACCAGAATGATCATTTCGCAGTGAACGCGCCACACACAAACCCCGCCAAGCCTTGGGCGGCTCCGCGTCCTGTAGGATCAGGGACAGAGGAGACGTTCCTTCCTTCCTCTCTCTCTCCCTTTGGGAATTTCTCTCCCTCCCCTCGTTTTCCTCTCCCTCTTCCCACCCCACCCACCGCAAAGCTGGATTTGTTCTCCAAAGGCATCTTCCGACTCCCGCCCGTTCCCTGAGCTGGGTAGTGTTCTCAATAAAATCAATAACTCTCCCCGCGTGTTTCTTCAACAGACTCGCTAATCACCTTTTAATGCTGTACTCCGGAGGGGGGGAGGAGAGCTCTCAATGAAGCTCCAGCTTTCCCGACCCTCCTCGAGTCCGAGTCAACAAGTGCTCCCCGGCGAGAGGCTGGTCCCTCCTCCCCCCCCCATCCCCGATTCTTGTGTCTCCTCTTCACGAACGTGCTTGGGCACCTGAGCTGCTGCTTAGCTGTGCGGTCGTAGCGCTGGGCTGTGGAGCGCCCTCGTCGCACCTACCACGGGAGGAGAAGGCCCGTCGGCCGAGCAGCTGTTAACTGGCACCACAGTCTGCGCGCACGGGGGGAGGGGATTCACACACTCGCCTTCTGAAACGCGTGTCCACGCTGCAGGTTTGCTCCGAAGCGAGTGGAAGCAGGCTTGCAAGGAACTCGGGATGAGTCGCCACGCGCGCCCAGTGGGATCTCCGTGTCTCCTCGAAAGTTGTAGCTTTCCACGCGGAAAGAAACGTGTTTCAGAAGGGGTGTGAAGCGTCCGACAGCCTCTCCCCATCGTGAACTCTGCCTCCCTTTCCTCGGTTTGCAAGTTAATCCCGAGTTGAATAACCGGTGGCAGAATTTCCTGCCGAGCAACAGTGATATTATTTGGGCTTGCTGGAAAAGTCTATTTGTATCAGGAAAGACAGGCCGTTTGTAATTATAAATTATTTCTATATCTCTCTGTGTGTATATATTTATATATATACACACACACACTTACATACAATATATATATAAATATATACAAGTATAGAAAGCAGCTGCTGTTGTGTGATTCAGAAACCATGGAACATGGCAGTATAGTAAATAACATGAGAAAACAAGTCTATAAAAAAGACAACAAAACAAAAAAAACAAAACAATCTTGGATCCTCTTTCCCACCCCTAAATATCACAGGATCAAACAACAACAACACAGCAGGACCTTTATACAAGGCAATATATAAAATCCCAACCTGGCTTTAAGCTAGGGAAGGGTGATGAAAAAAAACGGTCTTAATGCTGAAGGTGTGTCTACATATACACACACTCATTTCACATTGACCAACTAAAAACACAAACCTCACAGTGAAATCCAAGACGCAAAACATTGTAAAAAAAAAAATTAATGTGAGGATTTTTTTTTTGTTGGTATGTTTTGGCAACCAGACTGTAGCATAATATAGGCATAGCCATATAAAAATAAAAAGTCCACTTTTGATGTCACGAGAATATACAAGACAGTGAGGTATAAGAGATTTTTGGGGGTGGTGGGGACTTGTGTCCACGCCAGAAATAAGCTAGTGGAGCATAAACAGCCTAAAATAACAAGAACAGTAATAATAAAAGAAGAACAGGGCACGCAGGACTTGGATGGATGGTAGAGCTGTCACGATTTTAAGCGATGGGTGGGAGTTTGAAGCCTTCCTCCTCCTCTTCCTCCTCGCTATAATGAACTTTCCCGAAATATCTTCTCGTGTCGGAGGCATCTTTTTCCTGTTGTAGAATTGATGAACAGCTATTGTTTTGTTTTCAAAACCAAAAAGATTAAAAGAAAAGCAAACAAGCCCCACAAAAAAGAGGGGTGGGTGAGAAAGGGGAAAGGAAGCCTTGAAGAAACCAGACCATCAAAGGGAGGGAAGGGAGAGGAAAGAGCAGATAAGAAAAATCTAACGTGATATTTACCACCACGTCACTGCACGACACAACACTTGTGCATATTGGCAATAGGTTTACCTGCCCCAGCGGGTATTCGAAAGGACAGGAACACAGGCTGCAGAGGAAAAAGGAGGAGGTTAAAAGGTAAAGCTGCCACAGGCTGCAAGCACACTTGAATACAAATCTAGAGGATGGCCCTTCCTGAGGTGAGGTGCTAGAATTTCAGTGTTTCTCAACCTTGACAATTTTAAGGCATGTGGACTTCAACTCCCAGAATTCCACAGCCAGCAATGCTGGCTGTGGAATTCTGGGAGTTGAAGTCCACATGCCTTAAAATTGTCAAGGTTGAGAAACACTGTGCTAGATGGCTTCTCCCTAGCTGGTCCCCAGGAGGCTGTTGGGGCCTGCAGTCCTGCTATTGGGTCAGGATTCAGGAGAAGGGGGCTACTAAGCTCAGGCCCTCTGAAATCAAGGACTGTAGTGGGTCCACTCTAGACATTCCTGAGCCTGGGTCCAGTTTCTGGTTTGGCCTCTACCCTCTGAGGCGAAGGAAAGAAATTCCCAGACTGTTTAACATCACGGGAGGAGACGTCATTCTGTTATTCGTTTAAACCAGAATTTTCCAATAAGGAAAAAGTCTCCTTTGAAGTAAGGACCACTATTGGTGACTTCATGGAATGTTCAGGTTCATCCTTGGCAACAATAGGGAAGTGGTTTACCACGGCTGCCTTCTGGGTTTCTGTTCCCTGCCCTCATTATCTCCCTAGGATTCTCTTTCAAATACCTGTAATACCTTATCAAAAGGTGTCTTTTGAAGCACATAAGGCTGCTTTCTGTCCCTAGGCAGTTTTAGGTAAAAAGTGCCAAGGGGCTTTTTGCCAAGTGGAAACACATTCAAGGATGCAGGTAACTCTATTTTTATTGCTTTCCCAGATGCTTCAGAAAAACCAATGCTTTTCGGAACTGGGAGAATAGTTTCCACTAGGCTGTTTTTATCATGTTTCTTCACCCTCTTCTCTCCCTTTCCTGTTCTCTGAAAAGTGAAGTATTTTTGCCTCACCCCTTTTTTTTCACCCTACAGGTTCCCTCGATTTTTTCTATCCAGATCGTATTGAAATATACCCTCAAATAAGTCCCAATTCATTCCCTGGGTTTTATTTCTTTTTACAAGGATGTACTCTTCACAACAGCCCTAGACTGCTTCTAGAGTGGCAGTTCTGATCAAACGGCAGCCTAGAACTTGTAGTTCACATGAATTAATGCTTAATGGAAGAAAAGAAAGAAGGAGGAAGAAATCCTTGATCTCTTGTAAAATTTGCACTATCTGTAAAATTCCATGGGCTAGTTTCTAATACTGTACTAACAACAACTACTACAGAAAAGCCATAGCATAACTAGACTCTCCCCCCCCCCGTTTATTTTCTGTTTTAAAAAAAATAAAAAGTTGTTTGCATATTCAGGACAATATTACTTGCGTTTTTTCATAAAAGCTATGAAAATAGTTTATGTAGAATAATTCTCATGAAAATAAATGTATCTGCAGATAATTTATGAGCGAGGCTGGGCAACTGCACAAATCCCTGCCAAGAATCCTGCTCGGCTTTCCTTGTCGCACATATTCTGCCAGAGTAATCAGTATTTTGGTTAATTCCAGAGGTCAGTGTCTTTTCAGCTCCAACTTAAAAACCTTTACCAGTAGCTGCCCACCCCACCCGATCTGCCATAGATGCACTGGGATGTCCATAACAGAAGTAGAAAAGATTACCTTGTGGTCCCCCATGCAGACATTTGGTCCTATGTGGTCATACACCACTTGCCGCTCATCATTTTCAGACTGAGTGAAAACATAAAAGAAGCTTCTAGTCATTACTGATATTTCGTGAAAATCATTTGCCCAAGGTTCAGAAACAGAGTTACGTAAATCAGTAAACCAAATTAATTGAAAAATAGTTTTTTTTACTTATTTACAATATATATTCATTTGCAAATAAGGTTCATCAAAATTAACAGCATCATTAGAATGCAGCACTCTGACACTATTATTTGACTTAAATATTACTTTAGCTATATAGGTTGGTGAATTTTTTTCAAGATCTGGGTCTGGATATTAATTTACTACTATTTAGCAACTTAAGAGGGTAGGTCATATTTTGACTGCAATCCTGGAAATTTGACTCTGGAACTGAATATTTACTTCTAAAGAGGCACAGACAACTTTGGACTGCTAATATTAAAAATGATACACTTCCAAACTTCAAAATGAAACAAAGAAACATGCTGCATTCAAAGAAGTTCCTCAATGCACCCATTATTCTTCCAAAGTCTACAGAGCATAAACTTAAAACACCTTCAGTTCTGTTACTGCATTGCAAACAATCTCTACTTATCATTATTATTTGACTTAAGTCAGCAAATGCAAACAATGAAAAGGTGTAGAACTGGGGATTTCAGCAACTCCTCCTGCATTCCGTGCTTTCGCCAAAATTAGCAAAGATTATTGGAGCATCCAGTCAGAAGCCCATTTCAATGTTATTTCACAGAGTGAGTTTTTAAAATGATTGGACTTAAAACTGTTAAAATTAGCTAAATTGAAATCATAATTGGAAATGGTCATGCCTCTAAGGACACAGTCATTAATTAATATTCTATAAGACACTGTCAACAGATCAAATCTATTAATTATCTTTTAGATTTTTACTGGTGAATTAATTAAAATAAATAGGTTGTTATCTTAATCCGGGTAACTCTGCTTAGCATGTGAATTAAGAATGAAATTTCATACACAATACACAATAAATTGAATTTACTTTAGCATAAAGACATCCACCTCCATTGAAACCAAGTAGAAAAACTTATTGAGTTCAACTGGTTTGAATGGATTAATTTTAACATAATGTTTAAATTGACACGGTCATGTAGAGCTGGGTTTCCTAAACCCTAGTCCAGGCTGGGCCAGGCTGTGACCCATTGGGAACCAGGCCATGCAAGCGGCAGGTAAGCATGTGAAACTGCATTTGTACAAGTGGCGCACACATAAAAACCATCCCCCCTCCCCCCTCACTGCCACTACTGCCAGGCTGCAGAGTTGGAAAGGTTGGGGACCGCTGATCTAAAGTATTTTCAATCCTGTTGACTGTATCTGAAACATCTGTCAATCTTAGATTTTTAAACTCCAATTATTCATTCATTATTAAAGCAGTTACTTAGGTGAGTGAGCTAGGACCCCCAGAGCAACAGTGATGTCACCAGCTAATCCTTTTAAACAGGAAGTGTCTTAGTGCTTCTGACACAAGTGCAGCAACTTAAGTCAGATGGGTGGTGTAGAAATTTCAGTAAATAAATAAATTTTAAAAAAACTTAATTAATTAGGACACTCATAAAATTGTTTTATGCTTCCAGTTTAAACCTTTTACCACAATATATATTTACCTATTAAATTTGATTAAATTTGGTTAAATTTAAATGTAACCTTGGTTAAATCTCTATTGAAGAAAAAAATGGAAATAACATAGAAGCAGGAGAAAAGGAACAATGTGACACACACACACACACACACACACACACACACACAGACACATATCATATTTCTTCATCAAGATCTATTTCTAAATAAAGTTATTTGGAATTAAGTTTTGATTTTTATGGTTCTAGCTTTCAACTAGATGTTAACACAACTACAAACTTCAGAGTGAAGAGTAAAAACATTAACATCAATGACAATTGTGCCACTGACTTTAGTAGAGTTTAAAATTTTTATACACATGTCTCTATCTCAAAATGAGTAGCAGCCGAACATTATTTTTCCCCTAACCAGCTTTATTTCCATTTGGTACTGGCATTTTTATTCCCTTCTTCCTTTCAAACAAATAATTACATTGACACAGCTTTTGCTACTGCATCGACCACTCCAACGTCTGCTTTGTTTATCCAGCTTAATGACCTTGCTAAAGCAATGACTTAAGAGAGAGGCTTGCAATTTCTCAGGCTGGTTAAACTGGGAGATAATTAAATCTGTAACCCACAGTCTCTCCCCAGATCTTTCATACATACGTACATGCCATGCGCAGCTGTGCTTGCAATTGGTTTACCACCCTAATTTATTTCAAATGAAAAATGGTCAAGCTTTCCCTCATCTGTAATCAAGTCAAGTTTGACTGGGTAAGAACTTTATATATAAACAGCCACATTTTAGACTATAAAGTTAAAACTGAATTATTTTTAATGCAGTAAGGAAGCTTAAGGTCACATTTGCTTCCTAGCATGCTTGCCTAGAAATCTGTATCTTTATCTATCTACACGCGCGTGCGCACACACATACACAACCTTAACCTTCTGCGTTGCATGCATGAACACTTTCTAATATTTCAAGCTCATAATGCCACTGCTATCGGAAGTGGAGATACATTCATCAAAAATGACTTGATAATTTACAAAGGCAGCATCAAATTGTAGATTTTCAAGTGCATAATCTTTAGACAGATAAACAAATTACACCAGCGCATGAACAGAAACACGCTCCACTCAGCTGAGCATTCATTACGCTATGCTCTCAGGCAGTTCTGTGACTCCAAAAGAGCGGGCAACCTTTGGCGTGTTAGGGCTCAGCAAGCATAAAATAACATGCTAGGGAGGTAACGGACCATGGCATGATAAATGAGGCTGTGCTAAAGCTGTTTACAGCCCATGTCTGTACAATCTGTAAAGCCCACTGTGTGGAGCTGATGGTTATGGCTGTCAGCTAATTTGGGCATAGATAAAAACCCTGGCCCTCAACAAACAAATATGAAACAAAGCAGCAGGGCTCACATTGCAGTTGCAAAATCTTATTTTCACTACTTCCATGTAGTATTTCAAAGCTAGGAAAGTGCTTTAAAGCTTGTTTGTTCATAAATCACCAGATCCCAATTTATTTCAATTTAGAAATTTGAAATTCAAACTGAGAACAGTGATTTTCCCTAAATTTTAGAATCAGCATTCGTATGGTAAGGTTTTAATAGTAGATTTCTCTACAGACAAGAAATTTAGCAAGTGAAACTTTTGACCAGTACAGATAGTCCTCACCTTATAACAGTTCATTTAGGGACTTCTGACTGTTTTTCATAGAATTGCAGCATCCCCATGGTCACATGATCAAAATTCAGATGCTTGGCAACTGACTCATGTTTATGATGGTTGCAAGGTCCTGGGGTCATGTGATCACTTTTTGCGACCTTCTGACAAGCAAAGTCAATGGGGGAGCCAGATTCCCTTAACAACCGTGTTAATAATAACGGCAGTGATTCACTTAACAACTGTGGAAAGAAAGGTAGTAAAATGGGATAAAATCCACTGTCCTAGTAACAGAAATCTAAGGCTCAATTGCAGTCATAAATCGAGGATTATGTGTACAAATCTGGGAAAATTCTCCATGATAATTTTTTATCTAGCCCCAGCACTTAAAAGGGGTGCTTCTGGAAAAAGAAATCCATTCTATGCATTAGTTCCAAGAAAAGAAAAACGTCAGATCTGCCCAATACACACAGATCTGCCCCTGGACTAAATTAGCAGCTCTAGCTATATCCTGAATCATTCCAGCATCTTAATCATATATTGCTGCCATATTAAATACTAATGCAAGAAGAAATGAAAAACAGAAAGTTATCTCATTAAAAAAGGGAGCAGTTAAATTTTGAGCTTCAAAACAGAGGGTAGAAATAAGTACAAATATCAATTAATTAGAAGTTCAGCTGGTACAGAGTACAACCACATATTGTTGAAGTAAGGTGGTTGCAATGTGATCTTTATAACGCTACCTGCTGCAGTATCTATGGAGATTCTCAGTCATCCAGGTCATGATTGTCCCAAAAGTGCTTTTTCAAAAGGCAACTGGATTTTCTTTGTTTTTCCTTGAGGACATTTTGCTTCTCATCCAAGGAACTTCTTCAGTTGCTCAGAACTGAAGAAGCTTCTTGGATGAGAAGTGAAATGTCTTCAAGGAAAAACAAAGAAAATCCAGTTGTTATGGTTCCGGCTAATGAAACACTTCAAAGAACTTCCAGGCATTGGCTTTCCCAAAAGTCATTTATTATGTTACAAAATGTTGGCACGGCATAACGAAGATGCTAAGCTAAGATCTAAAATTCCCACCCACTGAGTAGTATTTTGCTAGCATTTCCACTCCCTACTTTGCTGTCATAATAAATTAGCGTGAAAGGCAAAGGTTCCCTTCCTTTCAGTTTTCCCTCCTCCCTTCTCTGCTCTACATTAACTCTAAAAATACCAGACAGTTCTGCATATTTTGCCAAAGCAAGAATATACAGTATTTGCAGCGCTGACATTAGTTGCCTTTTGAAAAAGCACCTTTGAGACACCTACTACAGTGGTTACCTGTTTGTTTCTGAGCCAATCCAAGTGATTGTTAAAGCCTGCGTCAAACTGCCTTCATCTGTATCAAATGTTTCAACACGTTAAGACCAAAAATAGTGACCTTTGCCCCCAAATGCATAATCCATGTTTATTATTGTTTTTTTTAATTAAAAGTTTTATAAATTTATTACAATATAAACTCCCCCACCCCTTCCCCCCCACTTCCCAGAGCTGATTACAGGGTAAAATAAAATAATGAACAAATATAATCCAACTAACATAAACCAACTATACTTTCAATCAAAACCATAAGACACTTTAACTCCTTCTCAATACAAATATTAACAAATTAAGTCAAAAATAATAATATAATTAAAACTATTAATAATTATCTAAAATCTACTCAAAAGGTAATACTTTTCAACTTCATATTTCTTCTGAATATTATCAATCCATCTTCTCCAAACCATAATATATCTTTCTTGTGAAGTTTATTATTGGTTTTATTAATATTAATTTTTATATGTCGACCTCCTTGATATTTTTATTTAAAAGTTGCCTAGGAATATTTTAAATAGCATAAGCAAAGATATTTTCCATTTGATTAATCCTTCTACTGAGAGTGAAAGAAATTTGCAATCTACAGTATATAAATTGTAAAATGTTTGAGTAACAATTCTTGTGGAAATGGGATAGCCAGTAATCCCCATGAATATATTTCTCTGGAAAAAAGTTCACATGGTAATGGCAAGATCTGGTAATCAGAATTCTAGAATTGAATGTCCAGAATGCACCTTGTGGTTACAGGAGAGGAAAATTATTTGTGTGTGTATGTGTAGATTAGGTGAAGGAGAACAGGAAGGGAAAGTTCAGCTCAATTTCATGTATTTTAATTACTTGAATAGGTATTTGGACTATCTGAAAAAATGTAGATATATTATTTACATAAGACTGTGCTGACACAGAGTCCAACATAGAGTCATATACAAGGAATGTTATACAGAATAGCCCAAGATCCCTTCTAAACAATGGAGTTCTGAAAGTAGTAGGTGTTTAAAATCAAGAACTCTTTTTTCAAGTAAACACAGACAGCTTGAATTCCAGGCTTTGTTTAAATTACTGAACAAAGAATAATACCCTAATCAAAGGAAATGATTGTTATCATTGGGGCTTTAGCAAATGAACCTGGAAAAGGAAAGAAACGCAGCTACCCACCTCAGGTGCCTGTAAATTTCTTATAAAAGTCTTGGATGAATGATACTTAATAAATAGTAATATGTTTTGATGTCTCATTTTGACAAGAAATCATAGTTGCCACCTCTTGATCTTCAGAGTACTAGAAATTCCTTGTCACAGAGCTGCATTCAAAAATGTCCTGCACTATATGGTGCTTATGATGTTCTAGTCTTAACAAACAATCACATCATTCATTTGTTCTCTGCTATTATTTCCAAATGCTTAGGATTTGAGATGTGCTTTGAAATCAAATGGTGCTATGTTCACTTCTAGGATGAGAGTCAATGCCTTCTTTAGTCAGGCCTTTCGAGTACAACTTGGCGTTCTGTAACTTTTTAAATCAGATTTTTCACTTGTATGCTCTTCCTCTCTCCATCTAAGATGTAGTTGACTTTGATTGACTTTAATCAGCTTATAATTATATTAAAATTGGCACCAAAACAACAGAAAACACAGTGTAAACACTGTTGCACTGCATTATGAAGTTCCTAATGCCTGGTGGGAGAGCTCTGTTTTTAAGGCTTATGTAAGTGATGCCAAGGACAGTGTTATCCAAATCTCTGAAGGAAAGGTGCTCCATAAGGTGGAGGCCACCACACAAAAGCAGTACCTCACAACTATTGAGTATCCTAAATTTCGACACCAGGGATGAGCATATCCTCCAGAGGAAAGTGATCAAGAAGATATTTAGGTGTCAAGCTATATGGTGTCTTAAAGATTAAAACCAACACTTTGAATTGCACTCAGAAGCTATCTGAAAGCTACTGCACAGTCTGCAACACAAATATAGCTGTAGCAGCTTTCACTAATCAGCATGCAGGCCATTGTTTTCTCATCAATAGGAACTTCTATGTGGTCTTCAGAGGCAGACCCACTGCACTGCAAGAGTTCATACATCTTGTGATAAGGGAATGAGTCAACCTTTTCTATTTGTTAATTATCTTGAGCACTCAGTGAAAAAGTAGGATATAAAAGGAATGAATTTGAAGAGAGGCCCACAACTGTTTTTTCTTGATCACACTCCTCATTATATGAAACATCTTCCTGTCTGAGGTTCACGTTTTTGGAAGGCTTTAAAAAATATTGTCTTGAACTGCTTTTGATGTGGCTGATGGAGCTAGGCTGCCTTGATACATGGTTTTTTTTTTTATTCTCCATTTCCCTTATTTATAAACTGCCCTGGGGCCATGGAAGTGAATAGAAAACACTAATTGTATAAGAACATACACACACACACACACACACACACACACATATACATGCATCCCCAATTGTTTCAAGGACATTTTTACCTTCAAAATGAGTTCTTTGGCAGAATGTGACATAAGGATTCTGTCACACCAAGCTGGACATCTAGTGTTCATATATTGCATTCCCTGGCTACAATCTTCACTATATGGATAGCTGGAAAATAGGGAAAAAACAAATGGAACATCTGTTAGCAATTTACATCTAATTGCAAGACATCTTTATCAGCCCTTCATTCTATTAAACTTTATAAAAACCAAGCAAATATGCAAATATTTTCCAGTGTATTTACTATTCAGTCTCCAACCTCAAACTCTTTTAATGATCAGCACTATTTGGGGTTATTTAAATAAACAAAAGGTCTGCTGCTATGGAAATACAACATACCAATATAATCCATGTAAGACAGAAAGGGCTATTTTAACATGCCAGACAGGATATAGCTGCTGGGTCTGGGCCATTGGAGAGCATGCATTTTCCTTTCTTTCTGACAGCAACACTTACCTCTCTATAGGAAGGTACGCACATGCACATTGCTGGAGGGAGGTTATTATCCTGAATTTGAGACTAGGGACTGGAAACTAGTGCTTAAAATCAGAAAGTAATTTTAAGAATGTGAACATTTGCTGAATCTTGGCAACTTCTAATCCCCCAAACCTTGCCAAGAGGACTTTCCACAAGTTCCTTCACTCATTATCTGTAGCAGTAATATTTTTTTCTTATCTCTTAGGTAAGAAAAGATAAATCTTGTGGTAACTGAAGGCTGCTTTTAAACATTTTTGGAAAGGCTCTGGAGTACAAGAAACATTGTTATTATGTAAAATTACATAGGCATAATAGAGATTTTTGGATTTGCCTTGAAATTGAGAGGGATGGTTGGATAGTTCTTTTTTTTTTTAAACTATGTTAAGCCAGTTTTTAAGCATTAACTCTAATGTTATCATTTTCATGTACTTCGTACTTCAATAAATAATACTGTTGAGTTTTAGAAGTTGGGGTCACAAAGATTATATGTGTATATGGGGGGGATGCACACACAAAGCAGGATGTTTTGTGGCTGCAAGTGATGAGTCTATGATCTCAGGTAGTATCATTCAGAATTCACATACACAGCAACCAACTATGACTTATTGTGTTTCTTTTACATTTTTGCTCATCTTTATTTTCAGGATATACAATCAATTGCACATTTGTTGTTGTTGTTGTTAATTGCGAAGTTGTGTCCGACCCATCGCGACCCCATGGACAACATTCCTCCAGGTCTTCCTGTCCTCTACCATCTTCTGGAGTCCATTTAAGTTCACATCTACTGCTTCAGTGACTCCATCCAGCCATCTCATTCTCTGTCGTCCCCTTCTTCTATTGCCCTCAATCTTTCCCAGCATTAGGCCCTTTTCCAGTGAGTCCTTCTTTCTCATTAGGTGGCCAAAGTATTTGAGTTTCAACTTCAGGATCTGGCCTTCTAAAGAGCAGTCAGGGTTGATCTCTTCTAGGACTGACCGGTTTGAACGCCTTGCAGTCCAAGGGACTCGCGGGAGTCTTCTCCAGCACCATAGTTCAAAGGCCTCAATTCTTTGGCGCTCAGCCTTTCTTATGGTCCAACTTTCACAACCATACATTGCAACTGGGAAAACCATGGCCTGGACTATACACACTTTTGTTGGCAGGGTGATGTCTCTGCTTTTTAGTATGCTGTCTAGATTTGCCATAGCCTTCCTCCCCAGGAGCAAGCGTCTTTTAATTTCTTGGCTGCAGTCCCCATCTGTGGTGATCTTGGAGCCCAGGAAGATAAAATCTGTCACTACCTCCATTTCTTCCCCATCTATTTGCCAGGAATTGAGAGGGCCGGATGCCATGATTTTGGTTTTCTTAATGTTGAGTTTCAAGCCAACTTTTGCACTCTCTTTCTTCACCCGCATCAAGAGGCTCTTTAGTTCATCTTCACTTTCTGCCATTAGAGTGGTATCATCTGCATATCTTAGGTTGTTGATATTTCTCCCGGCAATCTTAATTCCAACTTTTGTTTCATCTAGCCCTGCCTTTCTCATGATGTGCTCTGCATATAAGTTAAATAGGCAGGGCGACAGTATACAGCCTTGCCGGACTCCTTTTCCAATTTTGAACCAATCAGTGGTTTCGTGTCCAGTTCTCACTGTTGCTTCTTGACCCGGCATATAGGTTTCTCAAGAGACAAATAAGATGGTCTGGTATTCCCATCTCTTTAAGAACTTGCCACAATTTGTTGTGATCCATATTTTATAATTCATAAGTCATTATAGGTTCTGATGTAGCTGGGAGTGAACATAAAAAACAACTCCATTTCTGTCATTAAACAAATCCATTTTTTGCCAAAAACTGGAAGTAAATGCTGATTTCTGACAAAAACAACATAAATTGCAATCATTGACCTTCGCTGCTGCAAATGTGAGACAGTTGCCAAATGCCCAAAATGCAGTCATGTGACTATAGGGGGAAGGCAACCATCGTACCAACTTCATATCTAGATCATAAGTATTTTGGGATGGTCTGTTGTAGGTTTGAAGAGTCATTAAGCTACATCAGAACCTATAATGACTTATGAATATGGTTGGTATATTGAGGTGAAAGATAATTTGCATGGGGTTAATTAAGGCTCTGATATTTAGGGCAAGTAACATTCTATAAGAATTTATGGATAGATTAATGGACATTTGGTGTTTTACGAGGGGTTGGAGTGGAGTGGTTTTCCCATAATAAGAGAGAACTTCTGAGAGAAATATTAAAATTACACAGGATAAATTACTGAAAAATTTATTTGACTGGGTGTGACTTGAGTTGATACATAGCTTGTCAATATATGGAGACACAAATTGGCAACTCAAAAGAGTATACTAATTTTTCTGAAAGACATAGATATTTTTCAAGAATAGAAATGACATAGATATTTTTCAAGAATAGAAATGATTTGAATTTTAAATAATTTGGCTAATTTTAAATAATTTGTTCATAAAGTAGACATATTATCAAAGACTTTTTCAGACCATAATCCAGTGAGTTTGTGCAAAGAAAATTAGTTCCCTCAGATGGAAGTCAAATGAAATGCTGTTACAAAAAGAAATAAAAGCAGCGGACTGTAAAGAGAAATTAAAAGAATTTTAAAGATGGCAGACAGCTGAAAAGAGGTCAATATAGCATTAATTTAAGAATGGCAAAACCTAGGGTGGCATGAAAAGGGAGATCAGCTAGAATCCCTACAGCAGTGTTTCTCAACCTTGACAATTTTAAGGCATGTGGACTTCAACTCCCAGAATTCCACAGCCAGCAATGCTGGCTGTGGAATTCTGGGAGTTGAAGTCCACATGCCTTAAAATTGTCAAGGTTGAGAAACACTGCCCTACAGTCATAAGCAAAGTCCTAGCCTCCTTGAGTGCAGTTGACGCTTATCTAACTTTAATCAGGTGGTAACCATTAGGTAAGAAGATTTTTATGCATAAGCTTTTAGCAATAAATCAGCTTAACTGAACCTTCACATGTGGACCTGGTGTTTTGCACCAATTAATATCTAAAGAAGGCCAAGATTTGTTTTCAACAAGAAACTATTGGCCAAAATTATTCTGGAATAGTGATTATAAGTGGCTTACAATGGTTTTGGCTGAGAGGTTGAAAATAATTTTGCAAGAATGTATTTATGAAGATCAATGTGGGGTTTTATCTAAAAGACAGTTAAGGATAATATTACAAATGTTGTGGGAAATTTTGGAATATTTAGAACAACATAATGAAAAAACAAGCTACATTAATTTTCTTAGATGCAGAGAATGCCTTTGACAATTTGAATTGGTTTTCCTGTTTAAAGTTTTGAAACATGAAATTTGAAAAGAATTTTATTAAATAGGTAAGACTTAGATGTGAAAGAGAGCACAAATAATTATTACTGAAGAACTAACAAAACACTGAGATACAAAAAAGTGACAGGACAAGGATCCTCATTTAGTTCTTGAAATATTGAACAGAGATATAAGACAAGGTGAGAGAATTGCAGGAATCAGGATTAAAAGAGAAACTTAAGGGTAGTCCTCAATTTATGAACATTAGCTCAGAACACTGGCAATTACAATGACACTAAACACAGGGACTTACAACTGTCCTCCAGGTTATGGCTGTTGCAGCGCTCCTGCAGTCACACTGTCAAAATTAGGGTATTTGGCAGCCTGCCTGCACTTCCAACTGCAGGGTTTCTTCAGTTCTGCCTACCCACCTATCTCCCTCCATCTATGACCTTTTGGACTCCTGCCACCCAGTGCTCTATCACCCCAGTTGACATTTGTCCTCTTGTTGTTCCTGCTGTTGACAAGGCGTGCTCAGCCTGGTGACTGGGCCAGGCTGAAGCAGCTCTTTGGCTATTAAAAAGAAAAAAGAAAAGTCAGAGCAGTCCCAGAGCTGCAGCTGATTTCATTTTGCAAAACTATTTTTAGTAAATATTAAGGTTCTGGTAGGTACCATATTGCCAATCCCTATAAACTTTAACCATTAGAAATACAGACAAAGCTCTAGTTTAATGTGGACAATAATCTACATAATTCCTATAATAATAGTTAATGTAATCATAACATATTTTTTCTTGATGACATTGGTTTGCAAGAGCTTTGGTTTCAGGCAATAACTATATACTTTGCCCAAGATCAAAGTAGATACTATATAAAAAGCGTATTAAGAAACCAGATGCCCCCTTTGCTGCTTGAAAAGCTGTTTCGTAGGATATTAGCCTCTCTTGCTGCTGTGCTCCTGGTATTTCTCCAAATGAAGCTCTATGATAAAGTGGGATTGTTATTGAGATAAGAAACTAAAAAATGGAATCTACACGAATGGAACCAGGCAAGGCTCCTTTTCTGTTAATTTTTCTAGTTTTCAGAATTCTTGGCAAATCACATTTGAATTTCTTTTGGTGATTGTTCTGAACTTCATTGCTGGAAATGGCAGTGAGTGTTATCATTGCTGTTGTTTTCTCTTGTTCCTTTTTCCATAATGCTGAAACCTCCATGGTGTTGATGCCACAAAATTTGAAAAATGGTATTGTGAGGTAGTCCCTCATAATGACTTCCCCAGCATTTAACTAAAGTGTGGGAAGGTAGGGATACTGTAGACTGCTAGAAAGATGGATGTACAATGGAAGATTAGACACTTATAAGCATCTGTTGAACATCTTATTAATACAATTGTGCAAGAACAGCACATTCTTCCACTGAGAATGTAACTGAATGTTTCTTCTGCTTTAAAATAAATGTTGCAGTTAGTTCTCTTTCACCAGGATGAATGAGAGCCAATAAGAAAAAATGCAGGGAAATGGTTCTGCCTGGCATTGCTTATCAGGTAAGAATGCAGTGGGTTTCACCCAGAGGACCAATGACTCTTAGGAGTAATGCAAGTTTAGACTATCTTCAGTTAACCACAAGAAGAACAGATGAGCAGAAAGATGCAAAATAATTCAAAGAAATCTGCAAACAGTACGTAAAAAAGGCTTACGTTTTTGTGAATGGTTTCAAGTTGAATTATATGCTGTCTATTATATTTTAAACTCTGCTGTTATTAGGTTTTATAATGGAATTGCTTTATTTAAAGTGCCACAGTTTTAATTGTCACTTAGAGGAATTTAATTTTTTAAATAAAATAATTAAATATTTCAAATAAATAATTAAATTGGGGCTTACATTAAGGAATGCTACTTATTTATATTAGCTATTTATTTATTTATTTATTTTCAAATATTTATGTCGCCCAATCCCAAAGGACTCAGGGCGGCGTACAAAGTTAAAACAATGATAAAACAATAAAATAAAACAGTCATACCGCGAGTCCGATCATATCCCGGCCCTCCGGGGACATCAGCCCCAGGCCTGTCGGAACAGGAGAGTTTTAATGGCTCTCTTAAAGGCCGGCAGGGTGGGAGTAGTTCGAACCTTGGGGGGAAGTTGATTCCACCAGGTCGGAGCCACCACAGAAAAGGCCCTTCCCCGAGGGCCCACCAGCCGACACTGTCTGGCCGACGGGACCCGAAGGAGGCCCACTCTATGGGACCTCACCGGTCTCTGGGAACTATGTGGCAGAATGCGGTCCTGTAAGTAACCTGGCCCTATGCCATGAAGGGCTTTGAAGGTGATAACCAACACCTTGAATTGCGTCCGGAGACCCACAGGAAGCCAGTACAGCTTGCGGAGGATAGGTGACACGTGGGCGTACCTTGGCGTGCCCATAATCGCTCTCGTGGCTGCGTTCTGAACCAACTGCAGCCTCCGAACGCCCTTCAAAGGTAGCCCCATGTAGAGCACGTTACAGTAATCCAGTCTTGAGGTGACAAGGGCATGAGTGACTGTGAATAAAGCCTCCTGGTCCAAATAAGGCCGCAACTGGTGCACTAGGTGAACCTGTGCAAAGGTCCCCCTGGCCACAGCTGATAGATGTTGTTCCAGATTTAGCTGTGAGTCCAGGAGGACACCCAAGTTGCGTGCCTGCACTGAGGGAGGTAAATTTGCCCCCCCCCAGGACTAAAGATGGACCGTCCAGTTGGCCTTTGGGAGGCAAGACCCAGAGGCACTCGGTCTTGTCAGGGTTGAGTCTAAGCCTGTTCACCCCCATCCAGACCCTCACATCTTCCAGGCACCGGCACATCAAGTTGACTGCTTCACTGAAAGGACACGGGGTGGAGATATATAATTGGGTATCATCCGCGTACTGATGATACCTCACCCCGTGTCGCCGAATGATCTCACCCAGCGGTTTCATGTAATGTTAAAAAGGAGGGGGGACAGGACTGAGCCCTGAGGCACCCCATGATCGAGGTGCCTAGGGGTCGATCTCTGTCCGCCCGCCAACACCAACTGCGACCTGTCAGAGAGGTAGGAGGAGAACCACCGCAATATGGTGCCGCCCACCCCCACCTCTCCGAGACGACGCAAAAGGATACCATGGTCGATGGTATCGAAAGCCGCTGAGAGGTCAAGAAGCACCAGGATAGAGGAATAACCCCTATCCCAGGCTCGCCAGAGGTCATCGGTCAGTGCGACCAAAGCAGTCTCAGTGCTGTAGCCGGGCCTGAAACCAGATTGAAAAGGGTCCAGATAACTGGTTTCATCCAAGGATCGCAAGAGTTGAGACGCCACCACCTTCTCTACAACCTTCCCCACAAAGGGGAGGTTGGAGACGGGACGAAAGTTCTTCAAAACAGCTGGGTCCAGGGAAGGCTTCTTGAGGAGGGGCTTCACCACCGCTTCCTTTAAAGGTTGCGGGAAAGACCCCTCCATCAAGGAGGCATTGATTATTGCCTGGAGCCAGCCTCGTGTCACCTCCCTACTGGCAGAAACCAGCCAGGAGGGGCACGGGTCCAATAAACAGGTGGCGGCATTCATTGCCCTCACGGCCTTGTCCACTTCACAGGCTCAATCTCGCTCCAGATAATATGACTAAGACCAGCCCCTGGCAACTCGGCTGGCACTGCCCAGTCAGAGTCCAGGTCCCTCTGAATCTGAGCGATTTTGTCCGAAAGAAACTGAACAAACTCCTCAGCTCTCCCCTACAAGGGTTCCTCCGCCTCCTCCACTTTAAGAAGGGAGCGGGTCACCCTAAACAAGGCGGCCGGGCGAGATTCTGCGGACGCAATAAGTGCGGAAAAGTGAACACACTTTGCCGCCCTTATCGCCACTAAATAAGTCCTAAGATAGGCTCTTAATAGTGATCGGTCAGATTCAGAGTTACTGGCCCTCCAATGTCGCTCTAGACGTCTCTTGTGGCGCTTCATCTCCCGGAGTTCCTCAGTAAACCAAGGCGCCCTCCGGGGACCACTACCACAGAGAGGTCGCAAAGGCGCAATTCGATCCAGGGCCCCGGATGCCGCCTCATTCCAGGCCGCAACCAGGGACCTGGATGAGTTGTGGACAAGGGAGTCAGGTATTTCCCCAAGCTCCTCCTGGAACCGATCTGGGTCCATTAGGCGCCTGGGGCGGAACCACCTAGTCGGCTCCCTCTCCCTGCGATGGGGGAGTGATGCTCTGAAGTCCAGCCTCAATAGGAAATGATCTGTCCATGACAAGGGCGAGATCTCTATTCCCCTTAATTCTAGATCATGTCTCCATTGCCCCGAGAGAAACACAAGGTCGAGTGTGTGACCACCCCTATGAGTTGGATCCTGAATTACCTGGGTCAGGTCCATGGTTGCCATGGAAGCCATGAACTCCTGCGCCGCCTCTGAGCGATCGCCGAGTGATGGAAGGTTAAAGTCCCCCAGTACTATAAGTCTACTACTTATTTATATTATATTAGCAAGTGTTTACACAGCAAATTTATACAAAAACTAAGGATAATTGGGAAAATAGAACAATAAAAGTATAAGGATTAAATACATGTGGAAAAGTATTCTAGTTTTTGCTGGATTTGAAAAGAAATCAAAGCTTTCAAGATAAAAGTTTTAAAATAAGATTTGTGGGATTGAAAGCAAATGCTTTCATGCTTGAAGAGAAACTTATTTACCACCCTACTTGGTGTGATATTCTAAAACTGAGATGCATAGCTCTCTACCAAATGGGTTTACAAGCTACACTGCCATTAAAAAGATTAGTTGTGGCAAACAGCCAACTAAAGTGTACTGAACGTATTGGAACAAACCAGTGAACTCAATACCTTTTCCACCTCATCAAACCTAACAAGACTCATTTTCAAAACATATTATGAGAATTCAATTTGCTGCTTCACTGCCATACAGAAGTACAGCTTATTTTCTGAATGTTCGTGGGAGGATTTGATGATGTAATATTCTTGCTAGCAGAAGCTCTTTGTCTGCAATTTAAGGCTTGACTTTTGCAGAGAGCCTATTAATATAGTTCTGCTTTTAGGTGGTGCATGAACCTGATATAACAAGCCTATTCTTTTATGAGAAATTATTCAAATCCATCATATTTGATATTGCTCATCCTTTTCATAGCACTAACTTTCTAAGCTTGCTAGTGTTATGCTCCAGGTATAGTGCATAGGCCTGCCAAGAACTGTAAAGCATTTAATATAAAGTCTGCAAATTGGTATTCTGAAGTTTCTTTTAATGTTCATATGGTTTGTAAAATTGGTATTCTTAATGCATCCTTAGATCTTCTAATAACAATAGCCATACATAGAATTATTGAAAATAGGTATAACAAATAGAATGAATGTCACCAGTTGAACAGGATTTGTGATTTCTGTGGCAACCATGGACTTATCCAAAATAACAGAGAGCCTGTGCATACTGAGGACTGAATTTTAGATCTGTGGTTTATTTCAGGGCAGCTGTGATATGGTCTGGTGTTGGAGGATATTACCATTGCTGAAGACAGATTACTCTCTGGTTGTTCTCTTGCTTGCTGGTGCTATGGGAAGTTGGGGCCTGTTCAATTGGTCAGTCCCAGAGTACTGATGGATCCTGTTGGGTTTCTAAAAAGAGCTTAGGATATTTCCCGAAGATCTAATGTGCAGTCCAGCCAATGCCTTGGTTGCAACCTGGACTAGGAAGATTACCAAGGCCTTGGTCTGGATTGTTTTTATGTAGTCTATTTCTATGCATTGAACCCAGGGTGCACCTTCAGAACATTAAATGTCAGAAGCAACAACTGGAGTACCACCAAAGGAAGACAAAGAATGAATCCAAATGAACACATAAAGAGTCCATATTTGGTTTATATCGTAGAGATAAAGCTGGCAAAACATTATCTTTTCCACCATTGTTCTCTGTGAATTACACCACAGCCATGTCTAGAGTGGCCTGTTGTCTGCTGGGGAGGACAGATCATAAATCTACCTACAGGCCATGCTGAGGACTACTAATAATATGTAGCAGATAAAGTTGCACTGGGTTTGCTCGGAGCTGGACTCTGACTGGGCAGAAGCAAATAAGTTGGCTAGGACATGATCTTGTAATGTTATCAGTAATGTTAATAGGGGTCAACCTATTCTCTAAAGCACTTGAAGGTGGGCAAGAAGCAATGGATGGAAACTAATCAAGGAGACAACCAAACTAGAACTAAGGAGAAATTTCCTGACTGTTAGAACAGTTAATCAATGGAATGACTGGTCTCCAGAAGTTGTGGGTGCTCCAAAACTGGAGGTTTTTAAGAAGAGATTGGACAACCATTTGTCTGAAATGATATAGGGTTTCCTGCTTGAGCGGAAGGTTAGGCTAGAAGATGTCCAAGCCCCTTCTAGCTGTTATTCTGTTATATTTTATTTTCTAATCACTTTTGGAAATTATTTGTTAACTGATTTTCAGTATTAGGAACCTTTGGGACAACTGTAGCTATGGATGAGTTTCCTTCAATCCTTAGCAAAAGATGTTTTAAATACATGTTTAAGAACTTAAAAATACTATACTTTTTAATAAACAGCCAAAGACTTGGACGATGGTTTTGGAAAATTGCAAATGGACTTAAAGATCCAAACGGATTTGAAATAAGATTTTGAAATTAATTATCGAAATCCTTCCTGTTAT